GTGTCGGTGTGTGTGTGTGTGTTTGAGCTAGCACTTTGGCGCAGAGGAAGCGTGTTGGGCTCATAACCCAAAGGTCGTTGGATCGAGACCAACAAGTGCTATCTTTTGCCTGCGCGAGTTCGGAGCGCGCAGCCTCACAAATGGCAGACCAACTTACCGCTCGAGTGGTCATGACAGTTTGGCGTGAGTACATGCGGTGTACGTTCTTCGTCAATGCTGGTCACGAGAGTGTCAGGTCTATATCGCTTGAGTTGGGCGTCTCGCCGCTTGGTCACGGCTCATTGCACAAGCGGTTCACACACATGCCTTTTAAAATTCGTGGAGAGTTTGCGGCGCCGTTGGTCCGGTCTCAATGTTTTCATCAATCAAGGCTCAAAGTCACACTATGGGTGTACAGAATGCCGCGTTGGATTTTACGTTACCAGTTTCGCTGTGATTCATTTTAGAGGAGCGTTCATCAATCCAACACCAAGTACAGCGAAGGCATTGCGAGCAATCCAGAGCGCAGATAGCGGCAAAGCTCCATCTCAGACCCGGCGTCGTCTAAACAACTCGATAACGCCTTTAGAATTGCTTATTCTGCCTAACTAACGTACACCTCCACAATCGATAGACGCCCAGCGCTTGCATACATATTCATTGTCCTCTACCACGGTTTTAACGTTGATTTACCGAGCTCTGGAAAGTAGAGTTGACGTCCTCGATATCAAAGAGTGACAATTCCCATCTCGCTACATGACACCTATCACATACAGTAGCGACGGTATCGTAGGAAAATTAGTGTCCTTCAGAAAAAGCAAAAGAGTCGCCTGTACGTCCTCTCGTACACGTGCAGACGACGCTTTTGCTTTTTCTGCTCATGCCGACGCTTGTGAGACGCGAGCAGGCATCTCGTCGTTCATCGAAAACTTCACGACAGTTCACAATGAACCCGTGACCCGAGAATACAACGCCGTCCTTATACACATACGAAGCCGATGTTGACGTACTGAACACGTACCAGCAACCTAGGCGACGTACGTTTAAGCTTCGTGGTCCTGTCGAAAATGTGTGGTGGATTTGTGGTCCCTCCTGAGAAATTTGTTATACATGTGCAGCACCTTGGGCACTGGGCCGACGTCACCCTGCATACCCGTGATCTTCACGTGTCTGTTCGCAAGACGGGGTCGTTTACCACTACTTCCATCTTCTCGAAGGGGCAACTTTTTCTTTGTTGATAGAGCAAAACCTACTTGATCTTGCGAGTGTCGACGGTCTTTGCAATGATATGGTAGACATAGCCTTGGTACGACGTGATATGCAGCACCACGACGGACTTGGCGGTATGCACGGCGGTGCTGCTCGAGACGCGCGAAGGCGTTCGGGGTTGCGGTCACACAGCGACGATCCGTTCTTGGGGATTAGCGACGTGCGCCGCAGCGTGAAGTGCATCGAGGCTTTCTTCGCGACGGCGTTGAGATGGTACGCGAACGAACCCTTGCCGACAGTAACGTTGTCCAGCATCTTCTGGTAGAAGGTATAGGTGGAGATGCCGTTGGCAAATAACACGGCGTACTTGCGAGAAGAAGCCGTGGTGGCGGGAACACATCGACAATAATGATAAAAAATCGAGTGCGTGGAGGAGCCATCGGATTCTGCCGAAGGTGAGCGTGACCTGGCTCGGATTTGATGATCACTCTTGGTAGACCCCTTGAGGCGTGTGGCACTGGAGGAAGACCTTGTTTGATACTTTGTCGGTGTTGGTCTCGTCCTCACTCATATTGGGGTCCACGAAGTCGGGCTCCTGCGGGAGAAAATGCGGGCGTTGTAGGACATCTCGACGGGGTGGAGTACACCGTTCAAGTAGTACATTAAGCACTGCGTGCGATATGTGCTCCGGGTAATAGTTTCCTGCCTTGATACCGTCGCCGATGGCTCCACTGGATCCAAGGGGGAGCACTTTTCAAAGCAGTTCTCCAAGCGTCCAGTCCCAGTGATATCCGATCCGAGCGGTACGGCGGCTGGACTCGGTGATGCTGGCACGGCATTTTTTGTTGACCACGGGGAAGAAGCAACGTCCTCGTCCTCCTGCTTGAGCTTGATGTCGATCGGGCGGCTGCAGGTCTTAGACATGCGCATGGCGGTGATGTCCTTGGTGGTTCCGTTGTTGCGATCGCTCCCTCGCCACCGATTGTAGTTCGCCTCCGTAGTCATCCAGTCAAGGACTACTTCAACGTACCGCTTGCCCCCGTCAACTCCATCCTTGTCCCAGAAAATGATTTTTTCTTAACCGGCTTTACGCTGTCTGTCATCTTCTAGCCCTTGCCGCCGCGTCCTACACGGACACGAGCTGCTCCTGCATGAGAACGGTCTCCTTCTTCACGGGCGCGGGCTCCACTTGCACGGGCACGAGCTCCTGCACAGGCTCTCGCTTCGTCTTCACGGGCGCGGGCTTCTTCTTTGTGGGCGTCGAAGTCGGCTTGTCAACTGGTGGTTTAAACATTGTATGGACTGGAGATCGTCTTGTGGAAGAAAACGCTCGAGCAATGTAGACGGATGTTAACCAAATTCACAGACTGTATCCAAGTCTGACTACCACTATTGGAAAAACAGGCATTTTTTTTACAATGCCGCGCGTGCGCACGGAACAGCTCTGGATGTTATACAAGTAGTATTGTGTCTTGCAATACTTTTGTCGTTTTCACTTAGCTGTGATCTCGACTTATATTAATTTAAGGTCATTTTATAAATCGAGGTCTATAAGTTCAAATTGATCTACTTAACTCTTTCAGTACCGTCTGCTAGCTCATCACTAAGAGGTCATCTGGCCCAGATTCTGAGACCTGTACAAACATGGTTGAGGCGATATGATTGGTCATAATTGCACAAATGGGGATAGGAATTTCAATCTGACTCACTTATTGAAAGTTTTTTTTTAAGAGCGATATATCAAACCAAACCGAACGTTCGAAACGTCGTTTTTGGTTCATTGGCTGATTTTTTATTTTGCTTTCTTTTCCCTCCGCACGGGAAACACTCCGCGATTCCGTCTCTTTGGCTTCATCCAGTTGGCACGACCAGTTGACTTATACGAACGCAGGCGGGTAAGGCCTTTCTATGGCTTCTAGATCTGCATCCCAGACGCTGATTTCTCTTCTCCCAGACAACAGCAAGCACACACGATGGCAGGGCGTAAGCGAGGCGGGCAATGAGACTATTTCGGCAAGGAGTGTGTGGATCCAAACTTCTTGACGAAGCGAGCGAAGTACAATCACAACGAGTCATTGGCGATTCATACTTCGATGATTTTGCATGCATAGTTTGAAGTTTTTGAGCGGGTACACGAGTCGTGGGTCCAGTTTAATTCCAAATAAAATACCAAACGCAATCATGGATTGAAAAATAATGGTTTTAAACGATTTTATATCGATACATTTAAAATCTATTTGAAATAGAACCTTTCTATAGACTAACTAGAGGGTCCTAGAACCCTTTAGTAGCCTCTAGTTGTAGCAGGTTTAGCAGGTCAGTACTCTTTTTACACACCCATTTCAGGCTTTATGGTCAACACAGCTTTTGTTTTATAGACACTATCGCGTCTGCGACTTACTCAGGGATACCAGAGGTCAAGGGCGCTCCACCAACGATATCGAACGAGGTAGAGTGGGCTGGGCGACCACGATATCTACTTTTTTGTCCAGTCGTCACTCGTGATCGCGCACCCATCCAGAGCGGCCCTGCTCAAAGAGATCGTTGCAGCGTTGAAGTATGCATGCATCGAGCATTGGTCTCCTGCACAAATCCGTGAAAAGATCGGGGACATTGAAGACAAATATCGTGTGGCTGAATATTTTTTGTCTCAGACGGGTGTCGGGATCTCTAGCGAAGCTACGCTTCAGGCAGGGTTTTTCTTAAACGCTGTCCCTACTACTATCGACTACATGACGTAATGAATGATCGCCCCTCCGCTCGATCGCGCATTACATCGGATATGGAGAATGATAATGACGAGAGTGTCCTAATATCCGGGATCCTGCAGAAGGGGAAAAGCGACCACTTGCATTCGACTCAACTTCTGCCAGCAATCAAAAGGGAAACGTGGGATGCTTGATCCCGCTGAAGCTTTGCTGTCGCAGCAAGTAGAATCGCTCAGTGCGAGAGCTGAAAACGGCAAAGCATGCTAGTCATTCACGAAAAGGAGTACGAGCTGAAGCAACGTGAATTGCAGCTGATGGGAAGAGAAGAACGACCGTGAAAAGGCTCAAGCGGACGTCGACCTTGCTTTCAAGGAGGTACAGCTGCAAGCTGCACAGCGATAGTCCTCTGTGCAGCTTCTTTTACCGCGTTATAAGCAAATGACAGCGGAATTTCAGCTTTTATAGCAGACCGAACTCCTCCTGCCGTTACCCGAGC